AGACGGCCAAAAGTTTGTTCGAAGACTGCCAGACTTATGTCTCATGTGAATTTAACTTCATAAACACCCTGACACGCGAGATCAGTGGAGACTAAATATAGCATCAAAATTACAAAATACAGAGCTGGATCGAAGCATTTTTCATAGTCTTCCCAGTGGGTCTGATATATATGTAAAACAGAAGCTTAGTTGTAGGCAGGAATTTAATGGGCACGGGATACAGCACAGTTGGAAAGTGTGGCGTCCGAAGATTTGCAATGTAGCACACACGAAATAATATGAAGCGCTGGGGACAATTGCTGACTTAGAACGAACTGGAGGGGGTTGTTAGGCGGGCCATTGCATTCATCCAGGCGATAAGGTAGAGGAAGGATTTGACAAGCACAAGCATATGTGCAACAGAGCAGACTGGTATTTGTGCCTAAGTAATAGTTGACGATTCATCAAAGGATGAGTTACATCAGAGGTGGGATGTCAACATGCTCGCTAAACAACTGGTGCGGAATGCGTGGTTGTGAGCAGCTGCATGGAAGGTCGTGAAAGATGCCGACGTAGGGAAAGAGAGAGAGAGAGCGGGATGAGCATTGCAGCGAGTGTTACCCAAAGGGAGTCGGCGGTTACGTGGGGAAAGTGTATCGGCCATTTTTACCGACACGTGATTAAACCACCATCCTGGATCCGCGTAAAAAATGTTCACTTCATCCATATAACCTAGTTCAATTCGTGGGGCGTTGTAAATCTTAGGAGACACGACGAGGTACATGACATGAGGAAAATACCCTAGGCTGAAGGGCGGCCAATCAGCACATAGGAGGTCTGGGCATGCGTCTCTGATCCTTTCAGCTTGCTTGTCATGCGCATGTCTTAATGTCTAGAGAGTACGTGCAACATACAGGGCATTCCTCCACCCAAAAGTGGAGTATCGGGGGGAGAGGTGGAAACAGTAAAGTTTGCAATGGATAGTTGGCAAATGTTCTAAGGGATTTCGTCCCCAAAACGTGGGACAGTCTTTCGGGTTGGTGTCGATCACCTCGGGGCAGTATTTTCAGACTGTGTCGCTTTACGAAGTCAGCAGTTTCTTTGCCCCTACGTAAGTGCTGGTCAGGGTAGTAAATGGAAGAGATCCATATAACTCGGCTGGCTACGTTGTGTTCTGTATAGGCAGTACATCTTCCGCCATCCTGATACCACAATAAACTGCAAAAGTTGACGTCACTTCGGACTTCTGGAGTTCTTCCCGTTCCGTGTCAGTGTGGCTACGAACTTGGGCCACCCAACGCTAATTATACTACTTGCCCCTCGTTTGGTCGGACCATTGCCAGAAACCAGTTCTCATCGCGTTCCAGTCGCTTATAGATATTTTCGTCAAACGCGAATGTTCAAGGTCCGGTGTGTGCGTTATACTGCGCTTTTATATTTGTCTATTTTTCGACACGTTAATCCTACGTGGAAGTATTACGCAGATCGAGTCGCGTGCAAAGTTTCTGCTTGAATATCAAGTCTTCGGTCGATGTCCCAGTCCAGTCATTTGTTGAGATGCGGTAGCTGAACAAGAAGTTTGGCATCATCGTAGGTTAGACTGCTTGTGTCGATTTTGCCAACATGTGCTTTTTTGTCGTAACTGCTTATTCTATGAGGTCATTTGGAGCTGCATGGATCGGAGAAGTGGTTAAATGCCTCAATCCGCTTTTTTCTGTATATTCTGTTAATTCTTTACTGCTGAAAGTCTGGCCTTTGCTTGGACTAACCATTTCAGACACTCCAAAAGGTAGAGAAAATGGATCTAAACCTGTTAATTGCATTCGCTAAAGAACAGGATATTCCGATAAGGACTGTCTAAATCAATTTGGTGTGGATTCTAACAACCATCAAAACCATGGAGTCCTGAAATGATCCACAATACTCTATGTATGCCCCTTCCACGGCCATTCGGACCAGGCTCAAGACTTCAGGGGCGCCTTTGGCGAAGTCTTCCGTGTTCTTTGACTCATTGGCAAGCGTTTACTACTGCTTAGATTGCAGAGTCAAGTCTAAGTCACGAAGCAGCTGCGGGCGAGCGCGCTCATCCTTACTGTACCAGGATGAATATTATACATGATTTTGAGGACTGGTTGTCGGCCTTGCGGTGATGCAAGTACGCACTTTCCCCTTAACATGCACCCGTCTTGCAGACTCGGTTCGCTCTAGCGACTGCAGAATGGCAGAAAATCAAGTAAGGCAGAGAACGGTAAGACGAATTTTACTTCATTTAAAATGTGGCTTCTTGATTTCCACTGGCTATTTCGTCCGTAGTTTACGGATGCATTTATCGACTTATGTAAAATATTCACAATCGCGAAAGCAGGTGTTCTGCCAATGTCCTCACTTCCAATAGTGAGTCTGTTCAAGCCGTCAGTGACTGGGTTGATATAATCCGTAACGTATTTTAGTGCGTATATGTAAGTTAGAAGTGTGAATACTATCTTTGCATTCCAGGAGAGGGCATTCGGAGTATCCTTTTCATCCAATAGATCTAAGAACAGTTTGGTCAGTGCGAATCCTGAATAGTCCTCCATATAGACAAAAGTGGGAAGTTTTTATGCCAAGCACTATCAGTAAAGCTTTTATTCTGGTTGTGATTACTCGTTTTCTGTCTGAGCCATATTTCTAGATAAAATACAGTCGGCAGCACGGCAGCAGAAGGAATTCGGTGCATGGGAACCGAACCCACGTCATACAGAGACAAATCTCATTTCAGTATGATAGGCTTTTCGGGGTCTCAGTGAATCAGGATAGATTGGGAGGTAAGAGTCATTTCTTCCGACTCAAAACATGTTAGTTTATCGCTGACCAACTCCAACAACGATTCGTTAAGGGGACTTCAAAATTATAGCCGATTGCTTCATGAAGCGACTAAACTAAGTAAAAAACCTAAGGAATGAACGCAAGTGAGTAGCGTTGTTGGGAGCAAGGCCTCGTCACCAGGGCTTTGAGCTTACGTTCGAGTGGATGTTCACTAGTCTTTTCCATCTCAAGGTTGGGACATTTCAACGTGTCGGTAAGAAAAGTGCACTTATTGCTCGGGCGTTAGAAACCGGTGTCTTCTAAATGTGCTAACATTGTTTACGGTCTCCGGGGGACTATATTCAAATGGGCCTGTTGCTAATAATTGCAAGATGTGCGCAACCTGGGGTATGTCCTTCAGGAGGCTACTAATAAAGCATTGAAATAAATCGGAATCGCAACTTACCCCAAATGATGGTCTTATGTATCGAAACAAACGCCAGTGCGCATTTATGGTAGTCGTGTTTTGGAAGTCTTTTTCTAGGACGACTTGACTAGAAGCATGTTTTAGGTAAAAAGTTGCAAATTTCTGATCACGAAAGAAAACTGCATCCGGGTCCTCGCTGCGTGAGGGAGCATAAGGGCTTAGTATGGTTGCTGAACCTCTACCGTAAAGGCCTCTTGAACATCTACTTTCTGTCCATTGTAACTGCGAAATTTGAGCGAGCCGGAAATACATGGGGAATTTCTGAGAGAAACCTTGTTCACGAGAGTGACAGCTGATCCAGTGGTGATTTCGAAATTTAACGGGTTTCAAGGATAAAATTATCTTCAAAAGGTCTGCTTCGCGTTGCTCAGCAGATTGGCTCGCTCTCACTGGGATAAGTGTTTGCCCGCGACCTTCCCGCGTGACTAACTTCTCTGCCCAGGGGAAACTCTCCGCACAGAATAGGATGATGGGAGGTCATTGTGCTTGTTAACGGATTGCGGGTCTGAGAACCATGACTCCAGCTTTTCAAGGTCGAGCGCGATGCATTTAATGAACTCAGGGCCGACAACGAACTCATTATCGTGCCTGTGGACAATGGACGTTCATCGGTCGCATTGGTCATGAAAGACTACATTCAGACGGCCAAAAGTTTGTTCGAAGACTGCCAGACTTATGTCTCATGTGAATTTAACTTCATAAACACCCTGACACGCGAGATTAGCGACATTGTTTGCAGGGGAGAACTCAAGAGCAATATCACCATTCGATCGACGCATGGCGAGAGCGCAAGAAACGGCCCTGGCCCGATTTTACGATATCCCAAAAGTGCGCAAAGAGGGCGTTCCTCTTCACTAAGGGGCACTCCAAACTCTGAACAGACAATGTGGTTGTTTCGACGTCTCAGGTTTCTGTTTTCTGATTCGAACACCGCAGTCAGCTCGTCAACACAGTTCTTGAAGAAACTTAAAGGAGTAATCCTCCTGCCAAGCGAAATCATGGTCTCATTTGTTGCTACGTCCGTCTTTACTTCTACGCCGCAGGATCTGGCAGTCGAGACAATCGAACTATTTCTACGATCGAAATACGACGAAACGAAGAATCGTCTTGGACTCGCCCAAATCAACCAGCTCTTAAAGACGTACTTTAAGTCCAAAGGAACACTCTACGTGCAGGCAAAGGGCACACCAATGGATTCGCCGACTTCAGTGCTCATGGCCGAGTCGGTCTTAAAATGGTTGGAGTCGCTGGTTTTCTGGAACCACAGACCGAAATGGAGGGCTCGGTATGGGTATGATACCTTCGTCGTCATCGAACAGGATCAGGTGCTGACATCCAAAGAACATCTCAACGCCGTCTTACCGGACACTCATTTTAGGATGGAGGAGGAAGAGAAACGACAGTTGGCCATCCTAGATGTCCTCGTCTGTCGCAAACAGTGTGGTGGCCTAAAAACCAAAGTGTTCAGGAAAGCAACAAATACGATGCAAATACTGAACTTCAACAGCAACCACGCTACCGGCCGGAAACGCAGTCGCGTAAGAGCGCTATACCGGCGCGTTGAGACGCACTGCTATGAAATGGAAGGCCATATCTTCGACGGATACTGAGAGTCAATGGCTACCAGCACAACTTCCTTAACCAGTAAATACGAAAACGACACCAGAGACCAAACCCAACCGGCCTAAAATTTTGGCGGGCTCTTCCATACGTGAAGAACGTCTCCGAAACCGTCAGTCGTTTTCTCACTCCACTTGGAATTGGGGTTGCACGCAGGTCGGAAGCAACCATTAGGCGCCAAGTCATGAGGCCGAAAGACCCACTGCTACGGCAGGAAACGTCAGGAGTCGTTTACTGCATCTGATATAGTTGCCGACAAAGCGACTAGGTCGGAGAAACGGGGAGATTACTCCATATGCGAATTGCCGAGCACGCAGCAGCAGTGAAGCGGGGGGACGCTTGCTCTCAGGTGGCGGCTCATTCGACGGTACCCGGCCATATTTGCAAGTTTCAAGAGGCCGGAGTCCTGGCAAAAGGTGACAGCCGAGTGAGTCACGAGCTGCCCGAGTCATGATTCTCAGGCCCGCAACCACCAAGCGCAATAACCTCCCGTTAACGTATTGTGTGCTGAGATTTCCTCTGGGGGGGGGGGTTTAGTCACGTGGAGAGGGCGCGGACAAGGCATTATCTCAGTGACAGTAAGTCAGTACTCCGAGCAATCGTCACACTAGCATCCAACACGAATGACGAAATCCCGGAAATGGACGACTCGGACACGGACTGACAAGCCACCATCGCATCGATTACGACACTAGCGGTGACTGCGCGTGCTGTTACTTTCACTTCGCGCGTGGTTGCACGGTAGCCACGTACCATAACTACTGCACTCCTTGTACCACCTTTACACTTATCTCCGATTTTCTCTGATGATGGACTCGAGTGAGAATCCGAAAGGTCAGGCCGATTAGTTTCTTGTTCCAGTGATCTCATCTTCGTCGTCCATCTCTAGAAGGTGGAGACCTAAACACAGACAACATCAAAACGAGGTTTAAGGCGTTCCGATGTCTAAGAAACTTCAAGCAACAGAAACATAAGCGAATGCTTTGAGAATCCGGTCCACAGTTGTTTAAGCTAATGCTTTCCAGTATTCCAGTATTCAAATCTGGCTGTCGTTCTGAAGATAAAAACTATCGATGTGTCCATAAAGGAACTTTTCTCGCCAAAATCTTCAAAAAAATTATCGCCATGAAAATTGTCGACCTTTGTATAGCCAATCAAGTTATTAGAGCTTCCCAGCATGGTTTTTTACCAGATCGCTCTTGAGAAACATATCCTATGTCTTTTCTCAATGTACACACTTCTCTTCGTAATGATCATTTATCTGTGGTCGTTATTCAACTTGATCTTAGTCAAGTCTTTGATAACGTGCCACATAAAAGACTATTGGTTAAATTAGAAACCCTTGGACTTCACAATCCTCTTATAGATTTTTATCAAGGCTTTCTGTTTAAACGTAAACAAAATGGTTTTATTGGGATCTTCACTTTTCAGTGAAATCTCTACTGTAAGTGGTGTCCTACAAGGCACCGTTTAGGTCCTCTTTTGTTCCTGCTTTACATAAATGATATCTCGTCGGCGGTTAAACATTCTCAGTCATTTACTTATACTGATAATCTCAAATGTGTATATTCATCCAATAAGTCTATGACCCTTCGTTGCCTGGAGCAAATCCATGCTGACTTGGTTGTTCTCTCAGCTTGGAGCTCAAAATGGCTAATGGAATTCTCTGTCTAAATGTCGCTGTATGTATTTTGGACTTGATAGGCTACCTCATCCAGTGGTCTTTTAAGGCACATCTATGACTGAATGTACCACCATCAATGATTTAGGATTAAGCTTCACCAATAATCCTGATATCTCGCCGCATTTTGACAGAATTACGACCAAAATTTTCCAGATTTGTGTCTTTATGTCTTACAGTTTCGATCTTCCTGAAATTAAGACTTTATCGAATGCTTGTACTTTCCATTCTCGAGTATTGCCGCCCATTCTTTGGTTTGATGAACGAGGCTATTCGTTCAAAAATCGAAAGTATTTAAAGGCATATTACTAGAAGACTCTTAGGCACGGAACAAGCAAATATCTTCTACTCAGATGGATGCCAGATAGCTAATCTTAAATTTCTATGGGTTCGAAGACTGGAAGCAGGCTTCTGTCCCCTCTTTCGCATTAATAATAGCGCAAATCTTCCTCGAATTTCAGCACTCACCCCTTGTAGTCGCCCATCCGATCTTCTCAGTTCTTCCTTGATTAAACCTCCACCCGCTTCCTCCATCTCTAAGCGCTCTCTATGTTTTCGCTTCCAGGTATAATTTCCCCTGGAATGCCCCTGCAATAAATATAAGATCTTCAGATAATCTACCAACTGTTAAGAGAAGGTTGCACTCATATCTCAATAGTGACTCGATTAGACTTTTATTTTCTTCATTCTTCCCGGACAACTATCTCTATGACACCGAGAAAGGGCCACCGGGAATTTAGGACACTGCCATTAAATTTCCGTATCCGATCACATTTTCTTCTTTTGTGTGCAGTGTCGCTTCCTAGGATCCCTCATCAGAAAAGTTAATTTTTTTTTAATTTTTCAATTGATGCATCATGTCCCTCACAGAATGCTCTCTGTTGACGCTCTTGGAGGAATCCACTGTATTCGTCATGTAATAGTAGTCGGTTCGCATTTTCCTCGCCCCTCCACGGTTCGACTAGAAGCTGACTGTAACCGATCGAATCTGGGTTCCTATCGCCTCGAGACTTGTTTTCTATTCGTCACTTTGACTTTAATGGCCTCATCGGCATATGAATTCTGCCTTGATGATGTTCGTTTTGAACCTTTTACTCAATGTTAAGTGCAGGTCTGACCTGCTTGACCCGCCTACTTACCCCTTCATTAAATCCGTTGTATACTGCCACATAAAGGTCGGTCCTGCCTGCTTTTTATGCATTCATGAGCGACAGTTTTTTTCTCCTATAGTGTTAATCCAGTCAACCCAATTTTGTTTATATGTTGGGAGTTTTTTCACGGCTCGCTCACCATTCTTAGCAACATATTACTTATTCAATAACTATAAATCGAGTATTGTATAACTTCCGTTCTAGAATTCATGTTAAAATTTACTCCTACTTGCTATGATTGGAACCCAGGGGTCTTGAATAAAAATTATTTTTATACAAGGGTAAAAATAGTGTCTGGGTTTTGAAATAAGACTTTGCCATTTAGATCTTGCTCTAGACGTCTTGGTTGCAAGAAAATCGGTCCCTCGGGGCTTGCGTGTGTAAACTGGTAGTGGTCGATGTCCACGTTCTATGGCATTCGTGTTGTGAATTATCGACTATGCAACTAATTTTATCTTGAAGTCAATTTTTAATTCTCGTTGGCTGCAGGAGCGCCCGGTGTGACGAAATCTCGAGGAACATATATCATTGGAGGACAAAAATTTGAAACGGAATTCGAACGCTCGCGTAGTACGCTCTTTTCAGAACATTTCATCAGAGGAGAATTAGAGGAACTGATCGAATTAAAGTGTCCAAGACCGGACGAGATTGCATAAAAACTTCTCAATGAACTTGCCATAGCTTACTGGGAGTTCATGACATTCTACCGGACCGCCAACACGGGTTGCGAAAAGGAACATCCTGCGCGACAAACTTTCTGAAATTTCTCCGGGGCTAAGCTCGAGCTCTCCGTAACTGGCACGCTGTCTACATCGCTCCCAGTGACTTCCAGGGGCGTAAGACACTGTACCACACTAGAGACTGTTATGCAACCTGGAAAAAATATGGATTAGAGGTATCCTCCTCAAATGGATCGGAAAATTCCTTGTAGGTCAGCACCAAGTTGCGTGCATTGGATAAAGAAAATTGGATCTTTCTGTAGTGGAGGGTTATGTTTCCTAGGATTCAGTGCTGGGACCCGTTTTGTTGTTAATATTCATGGATCATGGTGCAAGAGCTTTGGATCGAGTAGCATCAAGGCTTGCTGACGACATGAAAAAAATGGAGTGAAATCAGGGGTCCTGCTGTCGAAAATAGCCTACAGGTAATCCTAAATCGGCTGGATGAGTGGCCAAACCGTTTGCTCATGCGGTGCAACTTCGGTACTCATTCCACACTTCGTCTAGTCAAGCTAACCAGATCATCCACCGCAATATATTTGTTTGGGAGTGGCAGTAAAAACACTCCTGTCAAATGGAGATAAAAATAGATTTTGTTGTGGTGTTTTATGCTTTGGAGAGTTCAGGAGGAAAAAAACCCACCGACCAAGAAATTCCGACAGTTAAGAAAGGGAGTGGTAGCACTGTATCGGATAGTATCAGTAGCCAATTCGTTTCCTGAAGTTGGGACTGGTCCGAAAAGAAGCGCCAAAGAACAGCTGTTACTGTTGGCTAAAGAAATTGCCCCTGATGAGACGACCATAGAGATCAGAGATCACAATCGCCGTCGATACGGTATAGTCAATCAGTGGATTCAACACCCAAAATTTGTGGGAGTTTTTGCAAATGCAAAAATTAAGTATTAATTCTCCTAAACAAAAGAAAAGTTTACAGAGTCTTTACATTCCTCGATAGTCTATGCCAAATAGCAATTGCGTTCGCAGAAAAAAACCGACGACATTTAACGGTACGTGCTAGAGGGAAAAATAAAAAGACATCACGGTGACTGTTACGTCGGAAGAAATCAGTTCAATCGTAGGAATTAACGTATGTTAATAATTCGGTCGCACGAGCTGATCGGAGATCGCGGAAAAATCAATATTTTGGGAACAACGTTTTGCCAGCCTCGAGTTCTAGTTTTGAAATAATGGCAAGATGTGAGCCTCCGAGTGGGCCTAGGGATGACACTGAAGAAAATATGCAGCATCTATAGAAAATTAGGTTAACTTTGCTTGATCCTCGGGTGGGAAAATCGACAACCCGACTCCACATCCCAAAATCCATAGCCTTAAGAATGCCTTCGAACCTTCTGGGGTCGGAAGGCGGAGACCAGCGGACTTCAGGAAGGTCAAAGTCACCAGCAACCAATTGATACTTAAAGATTTAGTCGGCCGCAGCTTGAAATGCCAGTGGGATTAAACTAACAAAATTGTTATTAACGTTGGGCGGGTGATAGATACAGCCAACGAGCATGGAGGACATATTTTTTAGAGCAACATGGAACCACCTGCCTTCTACCGCGGAAAAATTCGGGAGGTCCAGTAGCAGAAATGCAATTGTTTGCTTAACGAAGACAAAACTATCCTGACCACAGCTGTCCTGACGATCATTTCAATTGCAGGTACGGCCTAGAAGGGAGAGTTTGGAATCAGCTACGGAAACTGATGCCCATGTCTCAGTTACTAAGACAATATCTGGGCAATGAACGAACACCAGAGTCTGATGCAAAGGCATCTTACTAAGCAAGGCTCTGACATTTACAACAGAAGTCTAAGAGAAGGACACATTGTATTTGAGGGAGGTGGGCTACGTCGTCGAGTGACTGGCTGCCCACGAAACACACAGTCAGTATGCACCCATCCGGTTCTACAAAAAATCTCGTGGAATGAGAAGGTTCTGACGCCAATAAAAAGGAGTAGGACCTGGGGGGAGTAAATGACGGTCAGGGAAACTGGTAACCATTGTTAGTTAGCTCATTTTCAGCTGGAAATCCACGGGCCGGATACTGTAACCGATTCCTGTCGAAACAAAACTGAGGAGCGAATGAGCTAACTGGTACAGTATTGACATAAGCATGGAGAATCCACTGGTATTGTATGTATGTATGTATATTGAAGGGTTACAGGCAGAGCCCTTGATGACCCTATTTATGTACAGTGCTTTCGCAGATTCATACTCAAAAATAAAATAAAATTTCAGGCATTTTAAATGTGCTTGGGTCACAGTTCAATCGTAATCATAAGGTAGTGCATGGGGTCACTGTAAATTAGTGCGGAAGATTGTATATGACAGATTTTACAAAACTGGCTGTGCATAGTCATGCTGTACGAGCCGATTTCTGTCGAAAACTAGACGAGCAAGTTTTCTTTTAAACACACAAACTGTGTCAGCCGTCACCATCTCGCTTGGAAGCGAGTTCCACGGCCTGACAACCCGCTGGCTGAAAGAAAATTTTCGCCGGTCTAAACGTGTTCGCTCATTCCCGACTTTGAATGCATGGCCGCGTAGTTGGTTTGTACGGGCGAACTCAAAGAAGTCCTCTGCCCTTAATGAGCAACCCTGGCCGCGAACAATCCGGAACGTCCAGAGTAGACTGCAGTTTATTTGTCTATAAGAGAGAGGGAATAGGCCAAGCAAATTCAGCCTCTCCTGATAAGACAAATGCTTTAGACCGTCGACCATCTTTGTCGCTCTGCGTTGCACCTGTTCGAGTAAGTTGATATCCTTCCTCATCCATGGTGAAGCTGCTGGCATTCCATACTCTAGATGAGGTCTTACAAAGACACCAAAGAGTCTTTCGAAGAGTTCAGGAGGAAATATTTTAAATGCACGTCTGATCCAGTGTAGAGTACTAGTTGCCTTCTGGACCATCTTTCTGCAGTGTTCTGATGGCGATAGATTTGTGGTCGTCAATACACCCAGATCTCTGTGTCTTTCCACAGTTTCTAACCTCGTCCCGTCAATATAGTACTGGTGTTTGGGAGAGGCATTGCGGCCGGTGTTCAGGTGCAAAACCACGCATTTGGACACGTTAAACTTCAAAAGCCATCTGTTCGACCCAGCACACAGTTTGTTGATGTTCGACTGCAACTTCTCTGCGTCATCATCACACTTGACTTCACTCCATATTTTTATGTCATCCGCGAACACGAGAGCCTCGCAATTCACTTCGCTGATACAGTCATTAACATAAATCAGGAAGAGTACTGGGCCTAAGACAGAACCCTGTGGGACACCACTTTCCACCTTTACCCATTCCGAGGTAGAATTACTAACGACGACTCTTTGTAGTCTGGAGGACAGAAAACTCCTGATCCACTTAAACATTCTCCCTTGAATCCCTACCTCCCAGATCTTTTGCAAAAGAAGCCTGTGTGGGACACTGTCAAAGGCCTTCTTGAAGTCAAAAAATATGACATCTACTGGAAAACCCTTATCGGTAGCTCGTGTCCATTTCTCGTGTGAGTAAAGAACACTCGTTAAGCAGGAGCGCCCTGGACGAAAGCCGTGTTGGGCATCGCATAATATTTTCTTCTGTTTCAGGTATTTCATCAAGTGTCTTTTGATAATGCGTTCCATTATTTTACACGCGATGCAAGTAAGACTGACAGGACGATAATTTCCGCAGTCAAGTCTTGAGCCTCCTTTATGGATCGGAGTAATCAGTGCGCACTTCCATTCTTCCGGTAGCTCGCCGTCTTCAAATGACTTTTGAAATATTGCGGATAAGGGTTTACACAGTTAATTAGCAAGTTCGCGAAGTGCTAGGGCGGGAATTCTATCTGGGCCAGGCGATTTGGCAGGTTTCAGCCGGAGTAGCTCGGCTCTAACAATGGTAGATGAAAAGAGTGGTTCCTCGGTTAAGGAGGGTAGGGAGGGGATAGGATGGGGAAGGGTACTGGGAGGAGAGGTTGTTTGGCGAATGGATGGATGAGCAAATATAGCACTAGGTGCTCGGGTGAAGACGGACTGAAAGAAGTCGGAGGAAGCATGATGGCAAATGGGGAATGCACTGCTTCCATCTGAGCAAGAATTCTATTAAAAGGCTAAAATTTCGGCATGCTCGGACTAATCGCCTCGATATGAGGGATAGGAGGCAGTTTGAAACACGCTACGTTTTGGGCTGTCTAGTTTGGGGCAGTCTTAGGCAATTGTAAGGAAATGATTCCATAATGGAGCTGGATTTACCCGGTGCCCAAGTGGCTGAGACGGCATTTAGATTGGCCTTTGACTTAGGCACTTGATTAGGCAATAACTTTAAACGCTTGTTCAATGACTTTTTCAGAAGCGCTGTTGTGTCGCCATATATAAACTGATCGAGTATTTCGTCGGCTGATGTTCTGTTACGACTAGCATGGGCGTAGTTATGGACGATTAAGGGGTAAAGAGGTTCTACTCGAACTAAAGAGATTTTTGAGTTAACATATACACAGAAGGCAACGAACAAATGCTGGCATTTGCTGCGTCTCCGGCCACGATTCTAGCACACAGAGGCGATTGGGAGGACGCAAGCTTTCGACTTTTAGTACGTGTTCTTTGGTACATTACAGGGTACTAGTTAGGTTTTCGGTTGCATTAAAAGGTTTGAAACGTTGCTAACGTTAAACAAATCGCAAGAAGTAGCAAATACTACTGTTAGTTCCCTCTAGAGACTAGCATGAGACGGTCTGTCACGGAGTCACTGGGAAAACACTTCACAAAATACGGCTACTTCAGCAGACTGTCAGACAAGATTGGAAAAGAAAAAATACCCGGCAGTGAAAAACGACATTTAAAAAGGACTTCAGTAACACATAGGCATTAATTGCTTTAAAATATCAAAGTATAGGCAAAGCTTCACCTATCTTTGAGAGTGAACTGCGCGCCTTGTCCGTTCTGTACGCCAGCAATCGTGCATTTATGGATTTTAACGACGATATCATCGCAAAGATTTCTGGGACATTCGTCCGGCGCACACGGAATAAAACTTACAGGCCTGGAGAACATGAGCGGTTCGAAGTGAAAAATCTTTTTGAAAGAGTCCAGCGGAGAGTCACAAAGCTGGTTAGGTGCCAAGGCTCCTTTTCTTATGCAACCCGCCTAACAAATCTGAACCTCTTCCCTTTGATTGATAGCTAAGTGCGCGGGGATCTATTGCAAGCATTCGCCCATATGAAAGTATTGAACTACAGCCTGGACTTTGTAGCATTTGTGCCCGCTATTATGACGAACCTCTGAGAACGCGCGTTAAAACCTCACTCAACAGACAAGGCTGGATATGCAGAAGTTCTCCTTCTCTATCAAAGTGGTTACACCTTGGAATACTCTCCCGGCAGATGTTATTGCTTCACTATCGGAAGAAAGCTTAAAACTCAAGGATGAGAGGTCAACCGCAACCCTGAAGCTCACGTTCAATTCAACATGGCATAATGGACAAATCCCAACCATTTAGCCAACATGGTTTCCCCCTTAATCACAATTTAGTAAGGTACTTAAAGGCCCACACCTATTTCCTTCAACGAACCTGACTGAACCGAAAAGACTACATGTTTATCTGAACAATGATCCGATTGAATTTTTACTTTCCTCATCCTTCTTGAGCAGTATTCTACATAGCTTTCAGAAAGGACCACTGGAAATTTAGAACCTCGCCCACAGATTATCGTATCCGCCCACATTTCTCTCTCTAGTTTTTGTTGCGCCTTCCGCAAACCCATATCAGTAGATTCTATTTCCCAGCCCATGCCAAGTGTCCTTCACAAAATCACAAAATGCGAAGTTCTCTCAACCAAACTTTCAAAGGAGCAACCTTGGTCATGCTGGCGTGCAGTCTCTATGCCAAGTCCGATTCGCTTGCCACTAACCCTCATTTGGAGTCCGTTCCGGCTTCTAGAATGTCGAGTTCTCGACTCCACTGTTAGTGCGAACCTCGGTCTGCTACCACCCAAGATTCCCAAAATTTTGTTCTGCCTACATGACAAATCCCCGCACGATCTATCATGTTCCTTTGCGAAGTATTTTTTTCTGCTAGAGATTGTTCTGGAAGTAACTGCTATCTTGGGAATTTTCGTCACTGCTTCGTCCGCAGTCCGCTATTTTTTTAACAGCAGCTTCCACTTTTGAACACCAATACCGTCTACATTGCCCTTGTTTTACCAATGGACTCAGTTTTAACATGCTTTCGACAGTACCCTCTATGCGCTTAAAAATATATTATATTATAAATACGCATATAATGTTATTATTATTTTAATCGCGATGGTTTTTTGTCCTTAGCTTTGCTTCCTATCACCTAAGCTCCCTTTAAAAAGGTGCTACATTATTAATCGCTTGCAGGTTCAGTTGCAGTCTCAGAATCATACAACCTAAACTTAAATGAGTATGATCGATTCCAGCCCCCAGAAATGACCGAACCCCGAATATTGGTGTTCCGGCTGTTTCCACCATTCGTCGGTGTTGTTAATGTCGCTAGTTAGAATGAGCCGCGTTCTTCGTAGCCGTATCTTAAACCTTTCTCTTAGGCCTTTCACTTCTAAACCCTCCACTGCCCTTGAATCTGCATCTTGCCCAACACACACTGGACAGGTAGATCCCAACTTAGTCTCCTACTCACACTTACAGGTGTTTGACCAGCGAGACTTTCGGGTTGCACGGTTTATGGAGTCGGCAAAATTGGTACGCCGTCCCTTTCATGCATTTTTAATCTCTCTCCCGACATGGACTATTTAAAGGTCCGTTTTCGCGGTGTACAATTGTCTGGTGTCTTGCCCTGGTATATGCATGATATGGGCGCGAAACTAGGTTGACCAAATGAGCCAGAAAACCCAAGGCTGACATAATGTGTGCTTTTGTCGCAGACACGAGATTGAAATGTTCTTGGCGCTTATATCAGCACATAAGGAGTGCGAATCGATCATACCTTCAGCAAGCGTGATGGACCTCTTTCGTTGATAACCAACGGCGGTAAATCACATGGGAAATTTAATGTTCGCATATTGCCCTTAATAGTGATTTCGTGCGCAAAAAATATGCTGCACAAAGAATCGTAAACCGTCGTGTTTAGGACATAGCCTTACATAATCGTTCTTTATTTTGTTAAAACAAACCTTTAGAAATTTCTAATGGGATGCGGCGACGTCATTGACAACCACAGAATACTTATTCGTGCGTTTGTAATCTGGAACGCTGAGCGCCGTTCCAACTACCACTAAGTCATTTGACATTAATATAACCCAGTTATCGTGGGCTACTACAAGGAAGTCTTTTCCATAACTACTGCGCGTGGTTATATTCCCAGTAAACAGCAAACAGACCGGGTGTCTGTGTAGAGGTGGTTCCTACCGAAAATCTTGTTAACGCCTCGTGCAACAAACATCAAACACGTTTCCGCGCTTTTGCGCAGGAGTATTTTGTTTATCGTTCTTGATAATGGGGCCCGGCCATCTAGTGGCCTAGATAAGACTCCTAGACCATTGGAGTGCGTCCTTCGTGACTGACAGATGCTAATCCGAGTCTGATTGTTACCAAGCGTAAAGATGACGTCATCGCTACAATCGATGCTGTTCGCGGGTTTTTGCAGACCTTTGAGGCTGACCTTGAACGGGGCGTGGGAACTCAGCATCCGTATAGTCTGCTTTGTATGATTGATAATGCTCAGTTGGGCGTAGAAAAAAAACGGGAAAACTGGACGTATTTGACCAGTGTTGCCCGAGATGTCTGTCACGAGTAAATTTTGCAATCCAGTGAGGTTGTACACCCTCTGTTCCAATTATCGTTAGGATATCTCGGATTACTCAAGGAAGGTGACGGAGATTGTTTGAGCACAATCGTTGTCACTTGATCCATTTCCCAAGAAACGCGTCCTTAGATCTAACTCCTTGGCCTCACTTGATGCTGCGACGATGGAAACGCAAAACCTAACTCGATACTGCCCAGATACCGAGCCGATCCTTGGGCCCACAGTCTTCGATCTTCCCCCTAGGATTTATAATTGGGCACCATTAGGAGCCTCACCAGACGCAGGTACTTCCTGTCTCGTTTGCATTCTTAAGATATCCTTCGAGTGAAGCACTCTCACGATTTATCTTGCTGTCGTATGGCACGTGGTTTTAGACTTGAATACGCTTGGTTCTCCAGCAAACTAGTTGCCAACTTGAGAAAGACAGTATCGAGTACCTCAGGGCGAGGCTACTGCCTAACGGACAGGGTAAGGACGACATCGTCTCTCGAATCGATGCCGCTCGCAGGGTTTTCTCAATCCTGGGTAAGTGTCCATGGATCCGACTCGACATCTCCATCGCCGCAAAGATTCGGGTGTACCAAGCATTCGTCCGGTCAATTTTCTACGGTTGTGAGCGCTGGGCTTTGCATGTGGAAGATGGGCAAAGACTGGAGGTATTTGATCATTGCTAGCCGGGGACCATCTTTCGAATTAATTTCACCGACCTTGTCTCAAATGAGGCAGCCCACACTCGCGGTAACGGTATTTCGAGGATATCCCAGGCCATCTAAGAGCGACAACTAGGGCGGCTTTGGCACGTTTTTCGTCGTCCGCCTCACAGATTCATTCATACTGCCGTCGACCCGGCATCGTTGCCCATCAGGAGGCTTTTAAGATAAGGTCACCTCAAGACCTGGCCCGACACGGGATTCTTGGACCTTTCGGTTTCTGGTCCCAGCCGCTGGAGAAGAGAATGAGTCAAGCTGTCCAGATTCGCTGCCGCATGCATGACAACAGCCCCACCAAGTACCAAACTGGCTTTGGTTTGTTATTTGGTTCCGTAAATCAGTTTTGCTAGCCGGAATTAGGTCTCCCCTTGCCATCTTAGTTCTGCGCAAGCGCATGGCGTACACACTAGGCCAAACCAACCGGCGTTGGCTGGAGCTGAGCAGCAAACACCTGTTTATTGATAGGTGCCACAGCGACTGTTCTTGTCCTCTAACTCTGTTTTTTTCCGCCGTACAGTCTGCTCCTGCTCTGCCATCCCTCCACTAGGACCTAGTCGCTAGAATCCCCCTGAAGCGATTACTTTTTCCCACACCGACACACCATCTACTGCTTCGTGTGGACCACCTGACTGGAGCTCTGATAGGCGAACCGCCTCCCCATATGCCCAGAGCGTGGGATATTCCGTCAGCCTTGTTCCTGTACAGGATGCTTCACAAAACCTCCCGCTCTCCAATTAATCATAGTGTCCCTGGTAGGCGAAGCAGGTTCGCTGCAATACCTGCGGCAAATCCAGTTAACTGGCGATCCGACTAATCTGAGTTCGTTGTATATGATTTTATAGGTCGACGACTTTCGGTGAACCTGTTCCCAAAGTTGTCGGATTCACAGGAAAGAGTGGGCCGGTCGACCAATTCATCGATTATATACATAAGCATTTTTGTCAGTTTCTCCAAGTCTGTAAGGCGGCCGAATATCCCGTCTACACGACCCTCAGATACCGGTCGACGTTTTCTTTCCCAGAGTACTCGAGCCTCAGTGCACCAACGTTGGAAAAATTTCTGTGGTACCAACATTTTCAGTCGTAATATTAAATGAACGCATCGTTGCTGCATTGGCATATGGCATACATAACATTGTATAGGGCCGTTAATAGTATTATACGTGCCCGAGGGCAAAAAATTGTTTTCTGTACTAGGCATTGACTGACTCAACAAACATAAGTAGAAGGGGCGCCTCTTTCAGAGATGTGACGGACTGAGATTTCTAAACAAAGCATTGCATCCCGTTGGTAAGACTCACAAGCAGTGTAAACGTAAATACTTTTACTTTCATAAAAGATAGGAGACGTTTTCGCTTCCTGAAAGTTCGAATATGCACACTTTCTAACGCCATATTGGCACAATGAAGTGTCACAGGATCAAGCAGCAGTGTAGACAACCGAGGTTTACTTCTGGAATGGTTTTTTCTGTTTTGCGGCCAGCAGGGCAGCTTGTTAACATTCACCTCTCAATTTCAGGTGAACAAAAGTTTTGCGGCCGACCTTATTAACCAGATCCCTCCTAAGAAGGTTACCAGCCACATTACATATTGTGACGGAGGTGGTGGTGCCCTTGGACATCCAAAGGTGTACATAAATCTGGTAAGTTAACGAGCCTTATGGTCTCTGGTTTTTTAATTTTTGTTCTTTCCAAGCTTTTAATTCTGCTTATACAGGCATAATTTACTTCCTCGACATAGTTTCCATGCCTGCCCATGCACGTTTGATTGCTTTATTACTATTACTAGGATCAACCAGGCACACATACGTGCGGATACTGCGGTCTTCGCTTCGAACTTTCTGAGACAAATTAGCGGCACATTTTGTTATACACTTACTTACGCTACAACTCCCTTCATGCTGTAGAACTTTGCCTTCATGTCCGTCTCGCTCCGAATAAATTACTGAGTCCTTATTATTTCAAGTGTTGATCCTGTTATTCCATTGGTACTGTTGTTGGACGCCAGCTCTGCTCTAAGTCTGACTCAGTCGGCAACTTTGTTTTCTCTGTGGTTTAATTTACCACAGAACGACCGGTAGGATAGATTCCGAGCGAGAAGGGTGGAGGGAGGAATACAGCGCGGTACAGTTCTGGTGGAGGCTGCTGATGATACGGATGAGAGACCACCATTGATTTCAGTCGGGCTCGCATCTCCCAAGATTTCTTTGGATCAGGGTGTTAGAGAGCTCCTGATACCGAGTATGTAAGGCAGATCGTGTCCTACCTCGTCGAACAGTGATTGCGTTTGATTTCGCCGTGATTCCCTGTGAGTGCCAATCCGTATTAGTCGTCTATAAGTAGACATTTGCGTCCGATCTGAACAAAGAAAAGTCCTCGCAGCAGAACCATTCCGACGAAAACTATAAAGACGGACGGATTGCTCAAGTACAGGCCTGTTTGGTAAATATGCATAGGCGCAAGTGTTTGATCGATACTGCTGTCCAGGCTCACCGATTCGATTTTGTCACGCCTGTGGTCGCGGGGGACGGTGTTTGCATCCGCACTCCTATGGTAGTGCTGCCGGAACACGGGCGTTCTGCTTTTGACCCAGAGCGCGAGATCTGAATCCTGAGATCTAAATCCTATCCATCGTTGCGGGTGGTGTGGAAGCTTTCGTCATATGGACCCAATATTTAGGAGGATAGACGGAATCTTCGTGTCAGACTACTTAGTCACGTTGTCAGGGTCTCATCGTTGCTTATTTCGGATGATATGCCGGATGAGTTAGTGAACACACGAATCTTGACGGATGCTCACTATCTAGTTCTTCCTGCTAACATGTGTCAGTCAAGTTGGATGTGTCCTGTAGAGCAACAATTGGAACAATGGTCCCATAAATTGTGCATGGTTTTTTTGATGAGTGGCTAGATGACGGCGGCAAATAAACCAGTGGCCATTTCAATCAATGATGGTTTAAGACTACTGGTCGCTTGTCTATGCAGTGTCCAGAGTGCTCTGGGCCGGGGCTTCATGGCAAAATAAAACGCCCGTATCCAGTCATGCGACGACGCCAGGTCGGTGGCCCCCCACACGAGACGTTGGGTATCCTCGATCGCAGCCAAGTCGGCTCTAGGGATGGAGTGACCGATTGCTAAACTGGTGATGGCGGACGATGATTCAGACATCCAGGCGGAATCTGCGGACAAACGTTCGAAAGAGTCCGGTGTGACTTATGTTTACCTGCATCCCCGCTGTCGCCTTCAGTTCCTTCGTGACAAGAATGTGCCATGAGAATTAGTTTATTGTTTAATTACTCCATGGGACTTGGCGTTGCACACAGACCAGAGGCAACCATAAGGCGCCAGGAAGCCAAAAGACCCACTGCCACGGCAGGAAACACCTGAAGTAACTTACCAGGTCTGGTGCAGTTGTGGGCAAGGCAACTATTTCGGAGAAGCCGGAAGATTACTCCGGACGCGGATGGCCGAGCGCACGGCAGTAGTGACGAGGAGCGGCGCCAGCTCCCAGATCGCGGCTCATTCGACAGGACCCAACCACACATCCGAGTTTGACGAAGCAGAAATTCTTGCTAGAGGTGGCAACTGCGTGAGCCGCGAACAGCTCAAGTCATGGTTTTCCGGTTCTCAATCGATTAAAAAGCACAACGACCTCTCCACTCTATATTCTAAGCTGAGACTTTGTCTAGACGAAGTAGTTAGCCGCGAAGAGAGCGTGCGGATGACCAGTGGTGTCAATGTCGGCGGGTCGCATTACCCACGAGTTCACACGGAAGACGAAATCCGGCAGTCAGCAACTCAACTGCGTGCGATGAGCGTGGGAACCGATAATCTTGACCGGTACATAGGCGCACAACAGCTGCATACTTAAACACCTGGCCAGTCGAGCTCTGATGCATCGGGAACTGTCAAGTGTGATAGGCATGTAGCGGCCCGGCAACTACATCCTATAAATACTGCAACACCTGGACAATCCACCACCCTTATCTGACTCTGTCTCTGATGATGGGTTCGAGCGAGAATCCAAAAAGTCAGGCTCTTGTTCTATCTGTCGTTTCACCTTCTTCAGGCTAATCCTAGATTTCGGTGAGGCATCTTTTGGGAGCAGAAAAGTCCCCGGATAGCCCCAGATTCGGTTATCTCACGTCCTGGAAAACTAAGCTAGCCGTGGTGGGAGTAGAGTCAAAAAGTGTCACTTCGGACTTTTGCATAGCCTATATCGGCTACAATAACCGGGTGTGATGCTGCATGATCGCCGGTAAGTCATCTCTCCAATCTCAGTACACAACTTTTTGGCCGTTAGGGTGAGTGACGGCTTGAACCAGACTTAGCTTGTGATTGATCACAGAAAGGTTATCATGCACACAAGGCCTTGGTATCTATTGGGTCTCAACATCGCTGTATACGAGTCGGGATGTGATTTATTTCTAGCGGAATTCACATCAGATCTCTACTTCATCCGCACCACGCCCGTGCGAAAAGGAGTATCTGCGCCTTTACAATCAGATGTGTGATTTCGTTCGAAACAATGCATTTGTATGATAGGCCTTCATTATTTACACTCTCAAGTTGCGTTTACTTCAATGCTTGTATGCTAAATTGACAGACAGGTCTGGCATGATATGTAGCTGATTATAAGTAATATTGTTTAGTGTCATGACCTGCTAGCGGTGCGATCGGTGACGCGCCCGATTGAATGTGTCCTGAAAATAAGGGAACTAGGCCGGCAGTTTCACACACGTCATCCCTGCAGGGCTTGGTTTCCCACTTGTAAAAAATCATCGCCAATCCGGCCTTTCACCATCGCATCGGAAAGATAAAAAGGCCTAAACAGGCTCTGCAGATCTCATTTATCCTGTCGGCCATCTGATCGGTCATGTGGGAGGACTGGAGGGCAAGCTCTGGACAACATGACCAGAAGCATTATTGGCAAGTTTGGACCCACCATCTAGCATCATCGTACTGCAAAGATCAGCCGAGGGAGTGAGATATTGTCGTTAGCAAGCGATAACCTGAAATGGTAATGTGACGTACATAAATGCCTTAGATTCCCGGTACGCCGCATCTGCTTTGTTCCAAGACGTCACAGTAAGATTGCCTGCACATAAAAAGTCCTATGCGACTTTAAGACTTGACTTTTCTTTGGTGGGCTATATGTACACAAGTAAGATAATTACTATACAGGGAAATTACTGGAGTTGCTAGTCGCTATCATCGTAACCGACTAAACCGGCGCCTGGCATCGATGGTGGGGGCAGCATCTCGTCGACCTTCTGCGCCTTGATGGATGAGCAATCGGGGTCGCCAGAGTCACCGGAGGTCGAGACCCGTCGAATCAAGCCCGACTTGACTGCTGCTGAGAGATCTAAGTGGTGCAGCGGCTCCTTTTCCGACTTCGTAGACGAGGAAAATGCCCCAGCCCTTTGTGCCATCCAGTGTGCCCTCACAGTTTCCTTCGTTACTTGGAGTGCCAGGCTGTCCGACTTAATTGTACCCTCTGAGTCGGTGGAATTGGACTGACTGCGACTACTGGTGTTCTGTCTTGAAATGGACGCCGGTACTGATGCTCGTGATGTACTCTGGAAAAGCACATGATTTTCGAGTCCGGCTTTACTGTCCTTACTAATGGTACCTATAAAGACATGGCAACAAAGATAAGTCAATAAGGAGCTAGACATAAACAAGGATATCATGGAATGGGGAGCGTAAGACCAGGACGAAAGCTGAATACATCGGATTCGATAACCGGCCTGACATCCTGACGGGTCGTCGATCCTACGTTTGCGCTGGCCATTGCTGCAATGCTGTGAGTTAGGTGGCAACGGTGAGTTTGAGACAGTGAGAGGGAGTTCGTGGGACGGATGTACGCGCGCACGGAAACATTTCAGAGGCTCTTTCGCATGGTCTGCAGTGTCTGCAGCACAGGTTGGACACAGCATCATCGTGCCCTTACGAATGAGGAAATTTACAAGTCGCACTCAAGGTTGAGTATGAGTGAGACCGCGTTTTCGGGAGGTTTGTGACTAATTGAAGGTCAAATGTGCTTAAGCAGCGCTTGCCCTGGTGGAGTCGCCAACACTACGGTTGATCCGATCCGATAGGAAGATGGCCACAGCAGAGAAATCCCAGTGAAAGGGGAAGGAGCAAGAGTTAATCTCAGGGACCCTGGTCCTTTTTCGTCTCCAGTTACACTGGTTAGACTCGTTCACTAGTCGCCCGCACCACTGCACCAGGGCCATAGACGCTTTAACACGAATTTGCAACATAATCTTTGCGAGTTTCTGGTTGAACTGGGTCCTAATGTGGATATTCCTTGGCGTGGCATGTATTTCACAATCAATCAAATTAGTGGACGCGAGGGCAATCCCCTGTTAAATTTCTTGACGCGTCCTGGATACGTCAGTCGAATTCGGCGGAAAGGCTTCCGAAACGTCTGCAAGTCACTCTGTGATGAAGTTATGCTCACCTAGGGTTTGGCGCTGTCGGAAAATAACGGTGAATGGCGATCTGAATTTCACATGATGAAATCAACTCGGCTGAAAGGAACGGCCGGACGAGCTGGTTACTTATTAGTCCCTGTCCCCTCATCACGAGCGCCTCCTCATTAGTCCTTCCTCGGATCGACTAGTAGACTAAGCAGTTTACTTTGTTACAGATGAAGACTGTTGTTTCCAGTAAGCAAGTAATTACTATTGTGGACGTCGTTAATCTAGCTAGTCGTCAAACAGATGGGGCAAGTTCAGGAGTGGATTTGTGTCGAACGGCGAGTCGATGCGCAGAATAGAACAGAGTGGCGTGTGTTGACGCAGGATTCACAGGTTCTACATCAAAAACGTCGTTTGATGTACCCTACCTTCAATTGCATACGCTACAGTGGCAAATGAAGCGGAGTTACTGAGAAAAGTGACTGGGACTTCGTTATTAACTGACAGGGTGGGTGAGAGGGCTGGAGTTCGTCTGTCAGTGGTCACCCAAAAACTGATGATACGCAAGTGGATGGTCGACGATACTGAGTGCAATACACTGGGCGGATAGACAACACCACAAATGTTTTGCCATCATTCACAGAAGAATGGCGTCCTTTGGGTTTTGGAAATCGCCGAGTATGGAGTGACGAAGCGAAAAAGTTCAATGAGCATGTGGTCAGAGGTTTCTCCTCTAATTCGAAATATCTGGTAGGTATCGCAGTAGACGTAGCTATCGTCCTCTTAACAGTCGTTGAGATCGGGATGTTAGCCATTTCGCAACATGCTAAAGGAAAATGTTTGGCCCTTATGAGGGATTTCTTGCAGTTTTTCCCAGCGTCTTCATGTCACGTAATCCGCTACGCACTTTTTCAATGGTTACATGGTTTAGTTACGAGCACTTCGGGTCTATCGTTGCTCCAGAATCATTGAATTGCAAATACGGTTGAGTCTCTTGTGGCCTGTCTCCGCATCGATAGTAACTCAGCAACTTAAATCCCAACTGGAACAGCCATTCGGCCTTTGCCGAGCTTCCAGAAGGTTGGTGTAAGGGGAAAGGTAGATTGTGGGCCGTGGTTCTTCTGCAAACTGGGCAGTCGGGTTTAAAGGTCTGTCGTAGCGCACTCGGCTGGTTGTCAAGATGCCCTCATTCCGACACTACAGGTTGACACCGCCGGCTGGGGTGAGTGAAATCCAGGTCCTCTGTAGTCCAGACGACTCTGTGAAGCTACTTCTGACGGTCGGATTTGTAGTAGAGATTATCTTTTCTTATACCACGCACCCGGGAGGACAAAAGCCGATAGAAAATATACTACGTAAAACCTTACAAACTGAGTTCGACAAGGGGTGTTTAAACAGAACCAAAGTGCCTGTTCACGTCTGCGTTAAAGTAGTAAGAGGTGAGTTTCGGTGCTGCTACCTACAAGTCCTCGAATGTTTATTAATCATTTCGTTTGGCCCATCGCAAGAGCGCAAAAGCTTGGCTGTCTCGAGTAGCGGAGTCTGTTACGATTGGCGTGGTGCATGAGGAAAATGATGTCATCCACCGGATGACAGTTTCACCTGTCCGTCCAATAGAGAGGTTTCAGGACTGTGAAGGTGGTGATGACCATGGATAACTATCGACAAATTCCTGATAAAAAGAGAGCGATAGAAAAAACGAAAACAGAACGGTTAACAAAGCTGAGTAACGTACCTTGATATTTTCTGTGCATAAGACGAATTAGCTTGGCCTTGCTGGCATCATCATCCACTTCAGGTAGCAGCTTAACCTGCGAACCAGCTAAGGAGAGTCGACTGACTAGGACTTCATCTCGCGAGGCCGCTTTGCTGGCAGCACGCTTGGCCTCCTTAAAGTTTCAGAGATAAGAAGCCATCACATAAGTCTTCCCTGTATACTAAATATTAAGGACTACGCAGCCAAACAAGACTTACCCGAAACTGTTTCCTCACAAGACAGTTGAGTGCAAATTCGTCCTTAAAAGCGCTTTTACTGGCTTCCAGGTCTGCAATTGCTGGGTGCACGATGGCTGCCTTCTCCTTATCCTTGACACCATGCTCGACCTGGTACATGGCATCAACGGCAAGCTTTTGCTTTTCTTTATAATCTAAACATCAAAAATCAGCCTTTATTAGAACAACTCATGAGTGATATCAGATTTTAAAGCAAAGGTTCCTAAGAGAATTATGCTCACACGGTGTAGATTGGGCATCGGAAGATTCTGATTCAGGTATTTCAGCAAAACTATAGGTTTAAGAAAATGGCTTCTAGATTTTTAAAGCAATTTGCAAATTAAGGCACGTGTTATTTTTGACTGGCTTCATATAAAGAGAATACAACGCTGCGAACATGTTATGCGTCCTTTTTTCCAACGAGTGACCGGATGAGAAAAAGAAACAAGGGTCGTGTGCACTTCCTGAATAAGTAAGTTGTTGTATGGCAAACAGTTCCTTGTCAACGCTATATGTTAAGCTGTCTGAAATTAACATTTTCCACGATAATCACTCAGTACTCAATAAAACGAATCAGAAAACCCTTTCGTTCAGGCATGTCTAGGAGCACATCTTTGCAGCAAGCCGGACAGACCTTGCGTCAGGGGTCAACATATCGCAAGGTTGTGGTGGACCGACACAAACGACAATCTTAATAAAAGTGCATTCGCGCCTTGCAACCCAGGCAGAAGGCAGCAGGGAACGGTATTGCATAGAGTAACTAAAAGAATATTAGTCTTTACCAGGTAGGTGAAGAAGCGCGAATAAGTGAGTTTGTTTGGGCTACGCTTAAGCTTACCCCTGGAAAAGAAGGTGGACTCTCGTGTGAGAACTACCGCATTATACTTTATTGACAATGCTGGATGAGTTCTGCTATATTTTTTCGTGAACCGTTATTATGTGCGCGGGATTCGAAGACTAGATCTGGCCGAGCCGATTTTCGAAAAGGGCGTTCAGACACCGATCAAGCAGTTCTATTCGTACATTTTCAAATTCAGACAGTTGCCACCAGACCTTACTGAGGCGCTTGATCTAATTCATCGCGCGTCTTTGTAAACAGTGATAAAATTAGACGGTCTGGCAGTATTTGTCGCAGTTAACATGCTTAACGCCCCCAATCTTCCAACCTGTGCATGCGTACCTTCCTAAATGGGAGGTATGTCGACCGATTCATCTGTCAAAGCTGCGATGGCACAAATTCCTTGAAATTTAACGAGGCGTTTTTGTAACTCAACACTGTCAGAGTAAAAAGTAAGCGGTCCGAGCATCTTGGAAACAAGAGGCTGTTAAAAGGAAAGACGTCGATACATCTGACAAGGTTTTGGTCAGGCGCATGGCCTTTTGGCCCATCAAGATATACCTTACCGGCCTCAAGTTGTAATGCGCATCTGTCAGAACAGACGACTATTCTGGTAGATAATGCTGAGCTATGATTGTGTGTAAGCGAAAGTTGGAGGTTATCAACCCCAAGACTTCGAGGCACGAAGTATTTTTTTTGAGTTTGGGCTTTTTCAGTCCTACGCAGGACAGAAAGATTGAAAAAAGTCTGTTGATACATACATACACTGGAGACATTTTCCAGCTAAGAATTGCCAAAAAACAGCTTACACTTAAAACTGGTCAAAAAGGCCGGACTGAATCGTAATAAATATCCGTGGTCACTTAACGCAGTGGGAGAAAATAGATAAATCTGCAAAAGAATAAACAGAGAAGAAGCGAACCTGGGATAACAATCTGTTCGTTCTCCTCTGGATCCCATGTCTGACACTTCCGGCGAACGCCCTCAATGCATGAGTAGTCAAAGTTTTGGGGATCGGTTTGTATAACAATGGCACCCGCACACATGGCGCAGTTCATGGTAAATTGGTAAATCGGAGTTGAGTGGTACATGCCAACTTTCCTTTTCTCAGCGTTGTATCTGACACCCATGCCAATGGGCTTCTTGCAGGACAGACACCAGCAGTTAAAGGGCATTTCAAACCGGATAATGAGAACACCTTGATCAGCCTTTCGGCCACGTTCTCGCAAGGCGTGGACTCCATGGTACGCGTTGAGACTTTTGTGACGTTTTGGATCAAAATCGGGTGGATAGTATTTGTTTGTTCCCTTCCGTTCACCCTAAAACAATTGCAACGTCGTTAGCATAAAAAACGCACAAACCATTGTCTCCTCACACACGAAATCTAGCCAATAGAGATGAAGCCACTGAAGGCGAATCAGTGTAGCTCCCGAGCTCACAGGGCCTTCTTGTTGTGTGGTTTTGCAACGAACCTTTCTGGGACGACGGGTTGCTCAAAGTGAAATCATGAAGTCAGTTAGTAGAAAATGGCAAGTTTGCTATGGCTGACCTACATACAAGTCCTGCTCAACGTTTCACTACTCAACAGCCGAGGCACGGTAGTCTCGTTTTGACGACGCATATGCAGGGAGCGACGGAGACCAGAGCTGGGGCGTCCAGGATTGTCTCACTACTAGTTCTCGGTCCTATTTATTAGCCTTTCCAGTCGCAAAAGCCAGAGGACTGAATTCCACCAATGTTATTTTTGGGAAACGAGTTGGAAAGGATATCGAAGAGAATTGAGTCATCGATACTCCACATAATTTATGTTCATTATACATTAGTATAATTAGTATTTGTATAAGAAAACTAAATCTTAACAAACAGGGCCCTTTATTTAACTCGCCACTTTGCGTAATTATTACTGGATATTCTTGAATAGCAGTTATTATCAAGAAAAGGCTGGTTTGTGTTTAAGGGACGGAAAAAGGGGCAAGCGCGAGAATGCGACTGGAGACGTGGCGAAAAGGATTAAATGTACTATTTCATCCTTGATATTTGTAGCTTAGGACGGTGAATTATATCCGGCCTTGAAGCAAAACTGGTTGATATCGTCCCTCTGAAACCACAACCTTAATCTCCGGCTGTCTCCCCCTCTGGTCCTCAGAACTTGTGTGCATTATTTCACGCTTCTTGTTTTCTCTCTCTCCGTCAATACCTTTCCCCTATGTATCAGTCACATCCTAGACCTTCCTTAGTTATTAAGGATACTCCTGCTTGTTTGAAGTACTGTTTGCCGTACAATGCCGAAATCGAAAAATACCCATTTAGAGAAAAAGAAACCACCATTCTCTCCACCGGATCCCATCAATAAAACAGTCGCCTCTTCAGACCCAATCTATCTGACAGAGTAGCAGAACGGTCCGCCTACTACAGTGATGGCAGTGCGACGATTATGCCTCCAGTCCTTACAGGCAATTTGAAACAATACAACCACAACACGACCCGTAGAATTACCACAGTACGATGGCGTGGAAGACTTCTCAGTATGGTTTCGGTGTGCGGAATTCGATCTCCAGTAAGTCGGTAAGGCGGATGGGTCACGAACGATTCTCAAGTCCCTCTCGCCTAGACAGCTCGATAAAGCACTCGATGTGGGGCTACACGCTGAACTGTCCTTCGAAACACCTTGTCACCGTCTGACAGAGTTATTTGGACAGACCCGCTCTTTTGCAGACACCACCGAACAATTGTACGAACGACGTCTGAAACCCAACGAGACCCTAAATCAACTAGAATACTATCTGGTTCACCTCACGATAGTGACTTTTCCCACGTTAGTAACCGTGGATAAGGACAAAATCATCGTATATCACTTTATAGAAGTCCTGCAAACGTCTGAATTATCGCGTTCACTCTTGCTACAATTCCCGGATGATATACAAGATGCCGTCGGCAAGGCCGAAGGCTATCTTTGATTGACTATTTCAGCCTACGTCCTCCTCATTCCGCGGACAGACGATTGGTAAAAGTTCACCACGGCAACGCGACGCGGGCACTACTTCCCTACTCGGCGTTTTGCGGGCCCGAGCCGTTCCTCTTTTTAATCGGTGGGGTCGAATCTTTTGACGGCCACGCGGAAAGCCGCGTTCTTACACCAAAGTGTGCACGTGTCAAAGCAAAACTGGTACCATCTTTATTTCCTCTTGTACAGGGTTCTCTTTAATATTTGCTTCATTTTATGGTAGGGCAGCCATAGATAATTCAGTAAATATGAGGGATAGAGGCAGAGCCTTGGAAAAAACTATTTACAGATAGACGTATGATAAAAACATGCAGATATTTGCATAACTGCTATGCCAGCCATTGATATCGTGTAGATGTTTGACCGTCAAGCATTAATTTATCTAATCTTCTTTTGAAGGGCTTAAAGTTTTCCGCTAAGACAACGGAGGTCGGCCATTTGTTCCATTCTTCAACCAGCCGGTAGGAGAAGAATTTCGCCGGCATTTCGAGTTGGGCACATTTAAGCCTCAGATTGTACTGCTGCCCTCAAAGGTTTGTCGTCCGCGCCAGTTCGAAGAAATCGTTGAACTGAAGAGCATAGTCTAGCGCTCGGACGATCCTGAAGGTTATGATCATATCCCCTCTGTTCCGTCTAGAAGAGAGAGTAAATGTTTTTAGCTTTTCCAGGAATCTCTCATAAGGTGAGATACTTAATCCACGGACAAGCTTGGTTGCTCTTCGTTGTAACTTCTCCAGTAGGGTGTAATCATGTTTCGTCCAGGGACACCTTGCCCGGACACAATATTCCAACATTGGTCGAAAGAATGCTTCAAATTCTCGGCCGAAAAGTTCTCCGTCAAAATTGAGGAAGGATCTTCTAATCGCGCCTAGAATACCTATAGCTTTCTTTGATACCTTAGCGCAGTGAGACGATGGTTTGACATTGGACGTGATCCAAACACTGAGGTCTCTTAACTCGTTGAATGATTCGAGTTGGTGACCTATAAAGTTCAGTTCACTTTATTGAGGGAAAGAGGCGTAAGCCGTTGAATACCCTATTTGCAACGTAAAAAGTGTGTGGTATACAGATAAATGTTCCGGCCTGAAATATTTCAATTACGCCCTTAATGGTAGGACGAAATGAGAACGATTTACACGGAGTGAGCTCTACTTCTCATCGCTCTTGGTCATTTCGGAACATAAATATGCCAAGAATCTTTTTAAAACTTTGTATAGATGGTGACATCACAACATCTGCGGGCAGTGCGGGAAGTAGTGAGATTCAAAGCTCAACGGCCTCCTGTTGCTCGATCGTAATCGGATAAGTTGACATTTGATACGATTGAGGCTAAGACACCACTTATCACACCTTTGTTGTAAGCGATTTAGATTGTCTTGTAACTGTAGCGAGTCCTCCGGCTTCTCTGCTGATTTCCACAATTTGAGATTATCGGCAAACATTACGCGCTCCCAGTTTAGACAGTCCAGGCAGTCTTTCACATATATAAAGAACAAAAGTGGATCCAGAACGCTCCCCTGCACAACGCCACTGTGGACGGATTCCTATTCCTATTTAGCGTTTCCGATACACACACGCTGAGATCTGCGCGTGAGAAAATCGGCAAACCATTTCAACAGATTTCCATCCACACCCACTTGACGTAGTTTAAATATAAGTCGTCTGTGTCGAACACTATCAAAAGCCTTCCTGAAGTCAGTGTACACGGCGTCGACTGATAAGCCCATTTCAATTGATTTCGTCCAGCTCTCCATGGATACTAGGAGGTTGGTGAGACAGGATCGACCGCTTCGAAATCCATGCTGATGTAAACTGAGCTTATATTTGCTTTCTTCTTGTCGGCAGGGAGAGCCCCGTTCTCCATCGAAGTTCTGAAGTTCCTGGGTACCGGAGAGGCCAGTTGGTCAGCTAGTTCATTCAGGAATTTTGCGAGCACACCGTCCGGACCAGGGGATTTAGTGGGCTGTAGTTGACTCAAAGTTTTTCTTACCGTATCTGCTGCGAAGTCCACCGTGCTAATTTTATTTAACAGTTTGGGGATAAATTCTTTCATCAAAAGCCGGCTCCGTGGTATACACAGACGTGAAAAAAATCGGACAAGGGGTTCGGCTTATCTGAATTTTCAGACAACGTATTTCCCTGACGATCTTTTAAACAGGGAATGCAGTCCCGGTTGCGTTTCGCTTTATTTACTTATCCAAAGCATTTTTTGGAATTTTTTGGGACACTTTTTAGAACTTTTGACTCAAATTCAGCCCGTTCCCTCCTCAAGAGACTTCTACATACTTTTCTCTGTTTTTAGAAGTCAGCGAAATGTTCCAGTTGTTGACATCTGGCGTACTTTTTCCAAAGTCTTCTTTTCAACCTAAGGTTCTTTTTCATTTCTGACGTCACCCACTGTGGTCGGAAAGTGCGCGGTTTCCTCGACAGTGGGCAACAGTTCTCTGCCAAGTGCAGCATTATGTTCTTGAAAAAGAGCCAATCGCTGTGTCAGGTCCTTGTGCTTCTTTCTAGTTCACCTTCTGTAGTAGGTTTTTCCTTCCGGGATAATGCCCTTCCCACACATTTATTTCCACAGCAGCTCGAATTTCGGGTGTGGAGAAATGACTTTTCTCCCAAACAAGAACACTGTGGTCACTTCGGCCAAGTGGCGTGTGCGATTCCAATCCGAGAATGCAACTATCATCTCTAGTGATGATGAGGTCCAAACAACTGGACTGCTGTTCATCTCTGAATCGAGTGTTCACCTTAACATGTTGGGTAAGGAACTCATTGGTGATCAGTTGAATAAATTTCTGTTCGCAGGAGTTTTCTGATAGCGTGCAATGCATCAGATCCCACTCGATGTCTGGACAGCTAAAAGCACCAAGTGGCATTATGTGTTTGCTTTGACAAATTTCTTTTATCTCGGTAATGGGTGCATCGACCACATCCGTCCGCTATCCTGGCGGTCTGTAAACCGCGACCATATGCAGGCTTGGATGGTTTGGCACTTTCAGATAACAACTGCGTATTTCACAATCAATGTGCCGAAATAAGGGATGCTCAAATCCGACGTAGTCGATGCCATCTCGTATAAATATCGTAATCCCCCAAACCTGCGTTCCTTTCGGTCCATTCAAAGAAGTTGAAACCCATCTAGCATAAATTCCGTGTCTTTATCTGCGCATTTAACCATGTTTCTGTTAAAACTATCAGATCGTTTGGAAATGGGTCACGGTGAGTTTTATTTCTTCCAATTTGTTGAATAAACTCCGCACATTTGTGTGCATAATTTTTATATTGGTCGGTTGTTTAGATCCCTGAAAATGGTTTACTAGTGCTTTTGACTGATAGGTACTACCGCATATTTCACATGGC